TGTGCTATTAGAACACCTAGCCTGTATAAGCATGTGCTAATAGAAACCCTAGCCTGTATAAGCATGGGCTATAGAAACCCTAGCCTGTATAAGCATGTGCTAATAGAAACCCTAGCCTGTATAAGCATGTGCTAATAGAAACCCTAGCGTGTATAAGCATGTGCTAATAGAAACCCTAGCCTGTATAAGCATGTGCTAATATAAACCCTAGCCTGTATAAGCATGTGCTATTAGAAACCCCAGCCTGTATAAGCGTGTGTTCATAGAAACCCTAGCCTGTATAAGCATGTGCTAATAGAAACCCTAGCCTGTATAAGCATGTGCTGATAGAAACCCTAGCCTGTATAAGCATGCGCTAATAGAAACCCTAGCCTGTATAAGCATGCGCTTTTATAAACCCTAGCCTGTATAAGCATGTGCTAATAGAAATCCTAGCCTGTATAAGCATGGGCTAATAGAAACCCTAGCCTGTATAAGCGTGTGCTAATAGAAACCCTAGCCTGTATAAGCATGTGCTGATAGAAACCCTAGCCTGTATAAGCACATGCTAATAGAAACCCTAGCCTGTTTAAATATGTGCTAATAGAAACCCTAGCCTGTATAAGCATGTGCTAATAGAAACCCTAGCCTGTATAAGCACATGCTAATAGAAACCCTAGCCTGTTTAAACATGTGCTAATAGAAACCCTAGCCTGTATAAGCATGTGCTAATAGAAACCCTAGCCTGTATAAGCGTGTGCTAATAGAAACCCTAGCCTGTATAAGCATGTGCTAATAGAAACCCTAGCCTGTATAAGCATGTGCTAATAGAAACCCTAGCCTGTATAAGCATGTGCTAATAGAAACCCTAACCTGTATAAGCGTGGGCTAATAGAAACCCTAGCCTGTATAAGCATGTGCTTATAGAAACCCTAGCCTGTATAAGCATGTGCTAATAGAAACCCTAGCCTGTATAAGCATGTGCTAATAGAAACCCTAGCCTGTATAAGCATATGCTAATAGAAACCCTAGCCTGTATAAGCATGTGCTAATAGAAACCCTAGCCTGTATAAGCATGTGCTAATAGAAACCCCAGCCTGTATAAGCATATGCTAATAGAAACCCTAGCCTGTATAAACATGTGCTAATAGAAACCCTAACCTGTATAAGCATGTGCTATTAGAAACCCTAGCCTGTATAAGCATGTGCCAATAGAAACCCTAGCCTGTATAAGCATGTGCTAATAGAAACCCTAGCCTGAATAAGCATGTGCTAATAGAAACCCTAGCCTGTATAAGCGTGTGCTAATAGAAACCCTAGCCTGTATAAGCATGTGCTAATAGAAACCCTAGCCTGTATAAGCATGTGCTGATAGAAACCCTAGCCTGTATAAGCGTGTGCTAATAGAAACCCTAGCCTGTATAAGCATGTGCTGATAGAAACCCTAGCCTGTAAAAGCGTGTGCTAATAGAAACCCTAGCCTGTATAAGCATGTGCTAATAGAAACCCTACCTTGTATAAGCATGTGCTAATAGAAACCCCAGCCTGTATAAGCATATGCTAATAGAAACCCTAGCCTGTATAAGCATGTGCTAATAGAAACCCTAGCCTGTATAAGCATGTGCTAATAGAAACCCTAGCCTGTATAAGCGTGTGCTAATAGAAACCCTAGCCTGTATAAGCATGTGCTAATAGAAACCCTAGCCTGTATAAGCATGTGCTAATAGAAACCCTAGCCTGTATAAGCATGTGCTAATAGAAACCCTAGCCTGTATAAGCATGTGCTAATAGAAACCCTAGCCTGTATAAGCATGTGCTAATAGAAACCCTAGCCTGTATAAGCATGTGCTAATAGAAACCCTAGCCTGTATAAGCATGTGCTAATAGAAACCCTAGCCTGTAAAAGCATGGGCTAATAGAAACCCTAGCCTGTATAAGCATGTGCTAATAGAAACCCTAGCCTGTATAAGCATGTGCTAATAGAAACCCTAGCCTGTATAAGCATGTGCTGATAGAAACCCTAGCCTATATAAGCATGTGCTAATAGAAACCCTAGCCTGTATAAGCATGGGCTAATAGAAACCATAGCCTGTATAAGCATGTGCTAATAGAAACCCTAGCCTGTATAAGCATATGCCAATAGAAACCCTAGCCTGTATAAGCATGTGCTAATAGAAACCCTAGCCTGTATAAGCATGTGCTGATAGAATCCCTAGCCTGTATAAGCATGTGCTAATAGAAACCCTAGCCTGTATAAGCATGTGCTAATAGAAACCCTAGCCTGTATAAGCGTGGGCTAATAGAAACCCTAGCCTGTATAAGCATGTGCTAATAGAAACCCTAGCCTGTATAAGCATGTGCTAATAGAAACCCTAGCCTGTATAAGCATGTGCTAATAGAAACCCTAGCCTGTATAAGCATGTGCTAATAGAAACCCTAGCCTGTATAAGCATGTGCTAATAGAAACCCTAGCCTGTATAAGCGTGTGCTAATATAAACCCTAGCCTGTATAAGCGTGTGCTAATTGAAACCCTAGCCTGTATAAGCGTGTGCTAATATAAACCCTAGCCTGTATAAGCATGTGCTAATAGAAACCCTAGCCTGTATAAGCATGCGCTAATAGAAACCCTAGCCTGTATAAGCATGCGCTAATAGAAACCCTAGCCTGTATAAGCATGTGCCAATATAAACCCTAGCCTGTATAAGCATGTGCTAATAGAAACCCTAGCCTGTATAAGCATGTGCTAATAGAAACCATAACCTGTATAAGCATGTGCTATTAGAAACCCTAGCCTGTATAAGCATGTGCTAATATAAACCCTAGCCTGTATAAGCATGGGCTAATAGAAACCCTAGCCTGTATAAGCATGTGCTAATAGAAACCCTAGCCTGTATAAGCGTGTGTTCATAGAAACCCTAGCCTGTATAAGCATGTGCTAATATAAACCCTAGCCTGTATAAGCATGTGCTGATAGAAACCCTAGCCTGTATAAGCATGCGCTAATATAAACCCTAGCCTGTATAAGCGTGTGTTAATAGAAACCCTAACCTGTATAAGCATGTGCCAATAGAAACCCTAGCAAGTATAAGCATGTGCTGATAGAAACCCTAGCCTGTATAAGCATGCGCTAATAGAAACCCTAGCCTGTATAAGCATGTGCTAACAGAAACCCTAGCCTGTACAAGCGTGTGCTAATAGAAACCCTAGCCTGTATAAGCGTGTGTTAATAGAAACCCTAGCCTGTATAAGCATGTGCCAATAGAAACCCTAGCCTGTATACGCATGTGCTGATAGAAACCCTAGCCTGTATAAGCATGCGCTAATAGAAACCCTAGCCTGTATAAGCATGTGCTAATAGAAACCCTAGCCTGTATAAGCGTGTGCTAATAGAAACCCTAGCCTGTATAAGCGTGTGCTAATAGAAACCCTAGCCTGTATAAACATGTGCTAATAGAAACCCTAGCCTGTATAAGCATGTGCTAATAGAAACCCTAGCCTGTATAAGCGTGTGCTAATATAAATCCTATCCTGTATAAGCATGTGCTAATATAAACCATAGCCTGTATAAGCGTGTGCTAATATAAACCCTAGCCTGTATAAGCGTGTGCTAATTGAAACCCTAGCCTGTATAAGCATGCGCTAATAGAAACCCTAGCCTGTATAAGCATGCGCTAATAGAAACCCTAGCCTGTATAAGCATGTGCCAATATAAACCCTAGCCTGTATAAGCATGTGCTAATAGAAACCCTAGCCTGTATAAGCATGTGCTAATAGAAACCCTAGCCTGTATAAGCATGTGCTAATAGAAACCATAACCTGTATAAGCATGTGCTATTAGAAACCCTAGCCTGTATAAGCATGTGCTAATAGAAACCCTAGCCTGTATAAGCATGGGCTAATAGAAACCCTAGCCTGTATAAGCATGTGCTAATAGAAACCCTAGCCTGTATAAGCATGTGCTAATAGAAACCCTAGCGTGTATAAGCATGTGCTAATAGAAACCCTAGCCTGTATAAGCATGTGCTAATATAAACCCTAGCCTGTATAAGCATGTGCTATTAGAAACCCCAGCCTGTATAAGCGTGTGTTCATAGAAACCCTAGCCTGTATAAGCATGTGCTAATAGAAACCCTAGCCTGTATAAGCATGTGCTGATAGAAACCCTAGCCTGTATAAGCATGCGCTAATAGAAACCCTAGCCTGTATAAGCGTGTGTTAATAGAAACCCTAACCTGTATAAGCATGTGCCAATAGAAACCCTAGCCTGTATAAGCATGTGCTGATAGAAACCCTAGCCTGTATAAGCATGCGCTAATAGAAACCCTAGCCTATATAAGCATGTGCTAATAGAAACCCTAGCCTGTATAAGCGTGTGCTAATAGAAACCCTAGCCTGTATAAGCGTGTGCTAATA